TTATTCCACTGAACCATCTCCCCGGCCCCGCATTTACATATTTTTACAAAGAAATTTAGAAATCTAACCATATACAGAGTTTTAACAGGACAGACCTGTGACATTTTTTTCTTCTTATTCTTGTGTTTTTTTTTTTTATTTATTACCCTTTAAAAAACAAACAAAACATTTATTTGAGATACAGTGTGGCCATAATTGGTATGTCATGACAAGAAGTACGTATTTAGAAGACCAGGATGGCAGGCACTCCAAGCGTGACCCCTCTATTACACACTGCCATCCTCAGTGCAGCTGTTAGGCCAGTATTTGACAAGCACTGTACCATGACTGTCTGCCTTGGGCCGATTGTACTTCGGCTTTTCCTTCTTTCCATAGTAATATATTCTTAAGAGAATGGGGAGAAGCCTATAAAGTAGAGAAGCCTGCTGTGTGAAAAGTGAACAGATGGTTTCAGAAGCAGCAGCAGGAGCTATAACCAGTCATGGATAGAACCTAAGAGACCCAAATTTTACTACCTTTTTGTTGGACTTAGGTGGGGTGTAAATTATCAAAAGACTAGTTCTGTGGCCAAAGGTGAGCCAGATGAACACCTGGGGCAAGTGGTGAGTCTGGCAGAGATGCTTGGTAGGGAGGGCATGAGGGAAGGCATGGCTACTGCTCGGCAGCTGTGGGGAGCTGCTCTCGTGGCACCGTGAGGTATAGGCCCCAGCTCATCAGTGCCTCTCAGAGTAGGACTCTTCAGGACTCAGATCCACTGTGGACCTTGGGGTGCCCCTCTCCCATGTTGGCCTATTTCCCCACCCTGGCTCTAGTCCCAGTCACATGTAGGGAGCATTTGTTGAGCATTTGCTGCCCCAGGACTTCTGCTGTGCTTTCAATCTTTCAAGTGTTGGTGAGGCAGATTAGTGAGGAAGGCACTGGAGCAGGGCAACAAGCAAGACTGTGTTTTGTGGGCTCTGCACACTCAAGACAGGTTGATGAGCTGTAAGCAGATGAGCAAATAGGTAATACCACTCAGGCAGGCATCTGCAGAGGTATTCAGGACTTTGAGGGTGGGAGGAAGTCTGTTCATTATCAGAGAGGCTGCAGCTTAGGGAGGAAGAATCTTAAGGAGTAGAGTCAGGTTTGAAATACATAAATTGTTATGAACTACTGCTTGCCTGTTAGCTTTTATGATTTCTGTGGCTCAGGAATTAGACACTATGGGAGCATTTTCATCGCTCTGTTACAGTGGAGGGTGAAGGGCTGGGTGCTGGAGTCATGTGAGGAGTCATCTCAGTGTCCAGAGGTACATAATAGCCCAGCAGAGACTTAGCTGAGCCTTGTGGGCTGCGACTTGTGCACGTGTGAGTGGGGAGCGAGAGAAGGAGTGTGGACTGGGGAGTCAGCTAGGGATCTTTTTTCTGATGATGCCTTGGGAGGCACGTATTATTTTTGCCACATTCCATGGTACTGGCTAGTTACAGGCTATGCCAAGTTCCACTGGTAGAAACAGACTCACACTGCAGAAACTATGGAATAGGGTAGATCTGTAGCAGGCTTCCTTGGAAAAATGACTCACTTACTCCAAAGCCAGTATTTGTTCTTATCCCTTGATCACCTTCAACCCTTACTCTTGTCTACTGGCATTGAAAATTTTTACCAGACCCTTGATTTCCTGGGTAACTTTAGGGTTAGCACTTGTCCCACAGCTAGAGTTGTCCACCTGTGTGTTGAAGATGGACTTGCCTATTGGAGCTTCTCTCACTGGCCTTGTTGATTAGGCTACTTGGGAAAGGAATCTTTTGAGCAGGGAATTTTGTTATTTTGTGCTTCAGGATCTGTTAACTTAGGAAAAATGTACGTATCATGTCATGTGGGTATCATGTCTCTCCCCCCCGCCCCCATCATCAGAGAGTAACGTGAGCATGCTAATGCAGCCATAATGGCATCTGCTGGTGTGGCACTAGGCACAAGGGAGCATGGTGGAGAATCCTGCAAGAGGAGGGCTGCGCCTTGGGCAGGAGTGCAAGTTCTGTCGGTTACTTTTCACTTGTTGCTAGGACAAAATACCCAGCATCTTAAACTAAGGAAAGAAAGGTTTATTTAGCTCACAGTCAGTGGAGGTTTCAGTCCATACTCAGCTGGTGCCAGAGCAGAGTAGCGCATGGCAGAGGGCAGCTGTTCCTTGCAGCAGAAAACAGCAAAGGGCAAACAAGTGATGAGTCACTCTAGGATGGGCCTCCATGTCCTAGGGTGTGGAATTGCTGCACTGATTCAGGTAAGCTTTTAACTTCTCATATTGACACAGTGTATCATCCACTACAGCTGCACTGGTGGGGTGCAGCAAAGTGAGGGGCATTTGTTTAGCATGCAGGTGGATTTTCAAATGTTTGTCAAGGGGCAGCTGAGAGGGAGACAA